AATTATTAATTTGTTAATGATTAATTTGTTGATTTAATCTTAAATTAACTTGTTGATTTCAATGTTAAATTTCCTGGCACCAGTAGCCAGGAAATTAAAAGACTTATTGCCATGGGAGAGTCTGCTGTTAGGGACCTCTCCAAAGTTCTGAAGAGCAATGGTATTTCTCTGGAGACTAAGGTGCATCTGATACAAGCCATGGTCTTTACAATCACTTGTTATGCACCAGAGAGTTGGACAATGACTAGGGAGGATAGAAGAATTGATCCCTTTTGCTGTGGTGCTAGAGAAGAATATTGAGGGTACCATGGACTGCTAGGAAATCAAACAGATTCATCCTGGAGAGGGTTAAACCAGGCGGCTCCTTGGAGGCAAGGATTCTGAGGCTTTGTCTAACATACTGTGGACATGCTGTAAGGAGGGACCAGTCCTTGGAGACGGACATCATGCTTGGTAGGGTGGACGGAGAGTGGAGGAGAGGAAGGCCCTCTATGAGGTGGATTGATTCAGTGACTGGGGTAATTGGGATGGGTGTATTGGAGACGATGCGATTGGCATAGGACAGAGCAGAGTTTAGGGCTGTTGTAGATAGGGTTGCTAGGAGTCGCAAGTGACTCAACAGCACATAACAATAACAACATTAAAAAATTTTATAACGTATTAAATATTTGTTAATTTAGTGCTAATATGTATGATATAAATGACTACTAAATATTATCGATCTTGAAAGGATGTAATGCTGCCTTTAGCTAGTAGTTGACTGGTATACTAAAAGAGGAACTTGACCCTGGAGACATGCTTACTGAAAGCAGGAGAATTAAGGGATAGGACCTGGGGGAATATTAAGCCCCACCCCATACTCTGAAGAGATTTACGTTTAAATAGATTTACAGGCCCTCCTTTGATTGAAGAGATTTACATTTGGAAGAGATAGCTGGAACTTCTGGAAGTGCTCTGTTTATGTACTGTTCTAGCCATTTTAGAATGATTTATAGCAGTAATTTGCTTGCACATGATATTTGTTAGGCCAAGGGATAAGGAACCATAAGGATGCAACAGCCTCAACCATCTGACTGAACCATAAACCACAATGGAATGTCCTACCCTACCCTTCCCTCTCCCGGAAAGGTCTGCTATAAAAGCCTGCCCAAATACACCCCAAGTATGGTTTCCTTGGACTTCCTTTCCAGACCAAGGAAACTTGCCTTGGAGGTCCCTTAATAAAGCTGCCTTTAAGCTTTCTATCTTGCTCTCTGGTCTCCTTCTTGAGTCCACAGCCTTATATCTGGTGTGAAGACCTAACAATATTATTAATGCTATTTTTGATAGTTTCCATATTCAATTGATCACATTTCTTGGGAATCTCTTCTAGTCAGTCAGCCAGGCACTGTCTTCCAATTTTTCTGGAATAGACTGGTGAGCACATCCATAACTTCATCTGTTAGTGGCAATATATTCGTTGGTATCCTATCAAATTCTGAGATCTTAGTTTTTGACAATGTCTTCAGTGCAGCTTGAACTTCTTTCTAATTATTGAAACTTGATGCTTGAATTTGTTTATCAGTTCTTTCAGCTCAAGAAGTTCTGATTGAACTCTTCCCTTTTTATTCCTCTATTCTGTTTCTGCATGTTGTTGTTTTTATGTGTTGTTGAGTCGCTTGCAATTCATAGTGGCCCTATAATACAATAGTCCTGAAATCTGCTCTATCCTGTGTCAGCTTTACTGTGTCTGATACACTTACCCTCATTACCCCAGTCACTCAATCAATCCATCTCATCGATGGCCCTCCTCTCTTCTCCTTCTCTGTCCCTCCATGCTTCCCAGCATAATGTCCCTCCAAGAACTGGTCCCTCCTTGCAACATGCCCAAAGTATGTATGCTAGAGGAAGCATCATAATCCTTGTCTTCAAGGAACAGTCTGGTTTCACCCTTCCCGATTAAAACAAGCTTGGAAGGAGGAGTGGCATCCACTTCTGTAATAGCTTGCCTCTGGAAATCCTATGAACCTGGAGAGAGGATGAGAGACAACCAAGCGTTGAGGGCTTTTGTTCATAGGGTTACTATGAGTCGCCTGCGCCTTGACTGTACTTAGCAACAACAGGACAAACCTTTTTGCTATCCTGGCAGTCCATGATATTCAACATTCTTCTCTAGCACCACAGCTCAAAGGCATCAATTCTCTTTCTATTATTCCTAGTCATTGTCCAGCTATCTGACTCATAACATGCAATTGTGAAGACTAAGGCCTAGATCAGGGGCACCTTGGTCTCTAGAATGACGCTGTTGCTCTTCTGCACTCTGGAGAGGTCTCTAACAGCCAACTTCCTCAATGCAATTTATCTCTCGATTTCCTGGATGCTGATACCAAGAGTGATGATTGTGGAGCTAAGCGAACTAAAGCTATTAACAATCTCAATCTCTTCAACATCTATCATAATGTTTCCAATGTTTCTGCATATTGTATTATAATGTTTTCTCTGTCTTCTTGAACTGCCTTTTAAATCTTCTGTTCAGTTCCTCTTTTATTTCAACATCTTTCTCTTCCTTTTGTTTTTGCTTCTTGATGTTATAGTCAAATTTTCAGAGTCTGTTCCAATAGCAATTTGGTGTTTAATTTTCCTCTTTTTGTAGTCATAAGGATGGACAAAATAGAAATTGACCATCTAAAATGTGGAAATTAATGCATGAGGCATGAAGTTGATGACTTATACACTTTTGCAATTATAGTTATTCCATATTATAAGGAATAAAATAATTCTTCAAATATTAAGGTTAATGGCTAGCAAAGCCAGGGGTTGAGAGGTCTGTAATGTTAAGGGTTTATTGTTCAAAATGGCTTTCCTAGCCATAGAGTTTGACTTAGACATTGGACTTTGAGAGTAAATTGTGTTAGACTATCCACAAGGAGATTGGCTAGTCTCGCCATTTAATTGAGCTGATCCAGCAACAGAATTTAAGAATGTCACCACTAGCAAAAAAGAAGCAAGAGAAAGTTATATGCCCCCTGGGGCTAGAGATTCTTGTGCCAGCTAGACCCACAACAGCAGAAAGAGCTGTGACCAGAGACCTGACATGAGGTAGAGTTGACCTTAGAACTGCCACACCATGTAACCTGATCTAAGAGACCAAGTTTGTTGGAGGATTGGGGTGGGGCTAGGGACCTGTAACTGGCAAGACTAAGAGTCTAAAGCCACAAGACTCAGGTGCCTGTGAACACATTGGAAGTTATATTGGCTGAGTCATTGTATCTGTTACCAATGTGAACTAAAACCTTTGACTTCCCTAATACGGTTCTCTGTGTTCTGTGAGCTATTGTGATGGGTTTCAGACTCAGTAAAGCAGTAATATTGGTATTAGAAAGTAGAAAGAGGTGGAAAATGTCTGACCTCACAGAAATTAGTTTTGTATTGTGGGTGCTGTTGACAGGGACAGTTCCTCATTATGGAGTTCGTAGATGTCAGATGTGGCCATCTCTCCATGTGTTGTTGTTATGTGCCATCAAGTCACTTGTGACTCATAGCATCCCTATGTACAGAGTTTAGAGCCCTAAACTGCTGTCCTGTGCCAATCGCATCGTCTCCGATATACCCATCCCAATTACCCCAGTCACTGAAGGCCCCACTTCATAGAGGGCCTTCCTCTTCTGTGCTGTCCCTCCACCCTTCCAAGCATGATGTCCTTCTCCAAGGACCGGTCTCTCTTTACAACATGTCCAGAGTATGTTAGATGAAGCCTTAGAATCCTTGCCTCTAAGGAGCCACCTGGTTTAACCCTCTCCAAAATGAATCTGTTTGTTTTCCTAGCAGTCCATGGTACCCTCAATACTCTTCTCCAGCACCACAGATCAAAGGCATCAATTCTCCTTCTATCCTCCCTAGGCATTGTCCAACTCTCTGATGCATAGCAAGTGATTGTAAAGACAGTGCTCTGTATCAGATGCACCTTAGTCTCCAGAGAGACATCATTGCTCTTCAGAACTTTGCAGAGGTCCCTAACAGCAGACTTTCCCATTGCAATATGTCTTTTAATTTACTGGCTACTGGTGCCAAGAGTGTTGACTGTGGAAACAAGCAAACTAAAGTTATGAAACTAAAGCTATGAACAATCTCAATCTCTTCACCATCCATCCTGATGCTGCCAATTGGTCCAGTGGTGGGAATCATTGTCTTCTTGACATTGAGTCTCAATCCATATTGAAGGGTGCAATCCTTGACCCTCTGCAGCAAGTGCTTCAGGTCCTCCTCAGTTTCAGCAAGCAGGGTTGTGTCATCTACATGACATAGACTGTTGATAGATCTTCCACCAATCCTGACCCCACATTTCTCCTCATAGAGCCCAGCCTCTTGGATAATCTGTTCTGCATACAGATTGAAAAGGTATGGAGACAGGACACATCTCTGGAGTACACTTTTCCCAATTTTGAACCATGCAGTGTTTCCTTGTTCTGTTTTGACAACTGCCTCTTGGTCCTAGAATAGGTTTCTCATTAACACAATCAAGTGTTCTGGCATTCCCATTCTTCTCAGAGTCAGCCACAGTTTGTTATGATCCATACAGTCGAACGCCTTTGCATAGTCAATGAAACACAGATAGACATTTCTCTGGTATTCCCTGTTTTCACCTAAGATCCATCTAACATTACCTACAATATCTCTAGTACCACGACCCCTTCTAAACACAGCCTGGACTTCTGGCAGTTCTCTGCTGATGTGCTGTTCCAATAATTTTGAATTTGTTCTTCAGTTCCTTGAGCTTAAGAAATGCTGAGTGAGTTTGACCCTTTTGATTTCCATGTAGTCCTTACTATTTTAGGCATCCTCAAAAGCCCATTTCTCTGATCCAATAACGAAAGTATATGATCGATGGGAAAATGCATAAGTATTTGGAGTGATGCTTGTGATCATGTAGAAAGAAAAATTGTACTAGATACAGAGTAGGCAAGTCTCAAATGCTCTCAATTATATATCCCGTTCCTTGGTAGGAATTACAGATATTTTACAGGTAGATATAATTTTCTCTTACCTGCTGAGAAAGGCATGAAATAATCACTCTTCCTGAAGTTGCCACTTTTGTCCAGAAAGTGGCCAGGGTCAAATGTCTTTGCATTGGGGAATTCTTTTTCACTATGAAGCACAGAAGTCAGTGAAGTTAATATGGTCGTACCCTGCAATAAACAGACACAAATAAAGTGAGTGACCCTGGGCCTTGTCTTTGTTTTAATTTTTTAATGAATTGTTAAAAGTGATAGTTTTTTGTATGTAGTACATTTTCTTCTTTTTACTAAGATGGCCTTATTGAATGTATGTGGAGTGAAGATAGTTTTAATAAAGATATTCTAAGTGCTAAGGAAAAGAAAGAAAAACTCATTTCAATCTTTAAAAAATGACTGTATTATGTTATTCTTCAGCACATAGCTAGCCTTGCACTGAGCTTAGCAGTCTGCCCAAAGTGAAGAAAAATAGCAAATTTTGAAGACTTAACATTGCTGGATATCAAGACTTGTTCTAAATCTTTAGAGTTCCAAATTGGAAAGAACAGAAAATTAATCAAGCTGCACTTACTATTCAATGTCCTTTTGATTTCTCTAATCCTGAGTTAGTAGAAGACTGGCACAATACCATGTATATACTGAACTCTAGTTTAGAAAAAAAAATTACCTTGGGAATGAGGTAATTTCTGAATTTAACATCACGAGTCACTGAATGAAGCAGGTTGGTAGGGACGAAGTCAATGTATCTCTGGATCTCATGCACCACAGCATCTGTGTAAGGCATATTGGCCCTATCTTGCATGCAGGGGTCTCGGTGACTGCCAATCACTTGGTGAATCTCTTTCTGGACTTTATCTAGTAAGTCATAATTAAGAACTGATGAAAATGTGAAAGTTATTAATTTTTTTGTCATTTTAACAAGATTACATGAAGCAGAAGAAATATACACAATCCTCTCCCATGTGATTTATTGTTTTGGTTTTGACTCAAAAGTAATGCATTTTAATTTTTGAATTATTGAGAAACTAGAGTTAATATATCACTTTTCTAGTTTTCTTGATTTCTTCCCTCATACCATTTTCATAAATCTTGTTTATTGTGAATTGCTCATTTTGTAGGCCTAGTGCCATGCATTTGGAAGCAGGAGTGGTATCCACTTCTTAGACAGCATGTGTCTGGAAACAATATAAGTGTTTTGTTCATAGAATTGCTATGAGTCATGCTTGACTTCAACAACAACATCAACAATGGTGTCATGCAAAAGGTCATTACAAAGGTAGAAAAAGTAGAAAAGACCAAAATGGATGTCAGACAAGACTCTGAATATTGCACAAGAATGCCAAGGAGCCAAAGTAAAGGGAAGAAATCAAGAAGTTAAGGAGCTGAATAGAAGATTTCTAAGGGCATCTCAGGAAGACAAAGCAAAGTATTTTAATGCAATGTGCAAGGTGCTGGAGACTGAAACTCAAAAGTGCTGAATTTGCTCAGCGTTTCTTAAGCAGAAGGAACTAAAGAACGAATTCAAGTCAAGAGCTGCAGTAATTAAGGGTGCCATGGGCAGAATATTGAACGATCCAGGAAGCCTTAAAACACAACGGGAACAACAACAACAAAATAGAAAACTTGCTGGAGAATCATCTATGAGTTAGTTCTGACTGGACAGTAATGAGTTTGAGTTTGGAAAGTTCTGTTTACAAGAATACA